ACACACAGTCGTTACAAATTAGTATTATTATTTTACTTTTATTTTTTTCAGGGGTGGGGTGTTAATACCCCTGGAAAGCGATCCCCAATTGACTAACAACTGGGTTCCTACTTACTGCTAGGTGAACAGCGGAGTGTGGAATAAGGAAATTATCTAAGGTTGCGACCCACTTGAGAATCAAACCCAGGTCCTCTCACTTGCGAGGCGAGTGCTCTAACAATACACTACAGGACTCCATTGGGAGTTATGCTGGGTTTCAGTCTGCCACCCACCCATTGAACAGCATTTGGATTTCATAGAATCTTAGAATCATACAACACAAAAAGAGGCCATTCGGCTTGTCGTGTCTGTGCCGGCTCTTTGAAAAGAGCTATCCAATTCAATCCCACTCCCCCACTCTCTCTCCCCATAGCCCTGCAAACTTGTCCTCCTCAAATAATTATCCACTTCTCTCTTAAACATTGTTATCGAATTGGCTTCCACCACCCTTTCAGGCAATGATTCCAGATCCAAAAAACTCGCTATGTGAAAAAATTTCTCCTCAACTCCCCTTCTGTTTCTTTTAACAACTATTTTAAATCGGTGTCCTCGGGTTACCGACCCACCCGCCAGTGGAAACAGTTTCTCCTTGTTCACCCTATCGAATCCCCTCATAATTTTGAAAACTTCTATTAAGTCTCCTCTTAACATTCTCTGCTCCAAGGAGAATAATCCCATCTTCTCTACCTCTCCTGATAACTGAAGGATTTGGTGCATGTTTAGCCTTGGTGCTTTTCCTCCTTTGCTCTCGCCATCTCTTTGATGTTGTCAATACGGTTTGGGAATTCTGTCCCTCTTGGCATCTGCACTGATCCTTCACAGCATCCTATGAAGAGCTGCCAGTGAACTGAGACGTTCAGGGAGGAGCATAGCCAGATCCATTCGCAACAGCCGAGTGATCAGATAGGCAGAGCTGTATGCGTGTAGCTTTTTAAGCTTCCCTGTTGTTTCTCGAGGGGCGTCCCTATTAACTATCACTTGGTGGTCCACATCTTGAAACCCAGACATAATGGCAAGCACTTACCACCCAGAGAGATGAGATTGATATCTAATTGTCTGCTCATTAGGTTCTTTATGGCAAATTGTGCTATGTTCCCCAAGGTCTCCCGTGGCATTAAATTCTACCTTGTGCAGCCTTAGCTTGCCTGAAAAAAACAACAAAAACAACAACTTGCATTTATATAGCGCCCCTCACACAGGGTGATGTCCCAGAGCGAAAATTTAGGATCGCGCAGCATTGTAGCAAAGTCTTCAATTTAGTCTTAGTTTTGCATCAAGTATCACGTGCTCATTCATCCCCATCCTCGCCAGTCTCCACTGTCTCCCAGCAGATCAACTTCAAGATCCTCACCCGCTCCTACAAAGCCCTCAACACTCTTATCCCTGTCTCCGTGAAAATCTTCGGCCATATTTTCCTGCTTATAATAACAATAATAACACCACAACCACAACTTGTTTTTATCATGCAGGGTAGCGTTTCAGAGAGCTTGCGCCAGAGCGCTAATAATGATCCTCACATTTGATATAATTCCTTTCAGATCACTTCACAGGGTTTACTGTAGTAAACAATATTTTGTAGTGGACATAGAACATAGAATCGTAGAGCACAAAAAGAGGCCATTCGGCCCATCGAGTTTGTGCCGGCTCTTTGATTAGAGCAATTAATGTCAATCCCACTTCCCAGCCCTTTCCCCATAACCTTGCAAACCCATCTTCCTCAAATACCCGTCCACCGCGTTTTTAAAAGTAGTTATCAAATCGGCCTCCACCACCCTTTCAGGCAATGTGTTCCAGGTTCGAACAACTTGCTGCGTGAAAAAATTACTTCTCACCTCCCCTCTGCTTCTTTTAGAGACTATTTTGAATCTGTGACCTCGAGTCACTGACACACCCACCAGTGGAAACAGTTTTTCCCTTTCTAACCTATCAAATCCCCTCATGATTTTGAAAACCTCCATTAGGTCTCCTTGTAATCCAATGAGAATAATCTCGGCCTCTCTCGCCTTTCCTCATAATCAAGGTCCCTCATTCCTGGTACTGTCCTCGTAAATCCCATCTGCACCCTTTCCAATGCCTAAACATCCTTCCTATAGTGTGGTGTCCAGAACTGGGCGCAGTATTCCAACTGAGGCCTAACCAGTGCTTTATATAGGTCAATCATAACCTCCTGACTCTTATACTCTATGCCCCTATTTATAAAGCCTGGTATCCTATATGCCCTTTTTACAGCTTTACCTGTCCTTCCACCTTCAAGGATTCATTTACCTGCATCCCCAGATCTCTCTGTTCTTTTACCCCTCTTAATATTGTATTACCAGCCTATATTGCCTCCCCTCATTCTTTCTACCAAAATGCATTACCTCGCATTTCTCCACATTGAAACTCATCTGCCATGTGTCTGCCCATTTTACCATTCTGTCTATGTCTTCCTGCAGTTGGCTGCTATCCTTCTCACTGTTTATACCCTACCTAACTTTGGGTCAGGGGACGTCCTCCCGACGTGAAAGGCACTCTATAAATGGAATCTTGTTGTTATTGTTGTTATCCGGAAACTTGGAAATGGTGCTTGCTATACCCAAGTCCAGATCATTTATAATAATAATAATAATCCTTGCATTTGATATAGCGCTTTTCACGTCAGGAGGATGTCCCAAAGCGCTTCACAGAACACACTGTAAAGTGAATTGACTGTATATTTGTGGGCGAACGCGGCAGCCAATTGCGCACAGCAATGTCCCACAAACAGTCGTGGATTGAAAATGATCAATTTTTTATTATTGTTTTGTTTTTGGAGGGATTATTATTAGGCTCTGTGTGGAGTAAGGAAACTTGCCCAAGGTTTCGCCCTGCCTGGAATTGAACTCAGGTCTCTTGCTTGCAAAGCGAGTGCTCTAACCACTGAGCTACAGGACTCCACAAATGGTGTATATTAAGGAGAGCAGTGATCCTAATACCGATCCCTGGGGTACGCCACTGTACACTTCCCTCCAGTCAGAAAAGCAGCCGTTCATCACAACTCTCTACTTTCTGTCTCCCAGCCAGTTCTGGATCCGTACTGCCACTCTTCCTTTTATACCATGGGCTTCTACCTTTTTTACAAGTCTTTCATGTGGCACTTTGTCAAATGCCTTTTGAAAGTCCATATAAACTACATCAACTGCATTGCCTTTATCCACCCTCTCCGTTACCTCATCGAAAAATTCTATTAGATTTGTTGGACAAGATTTCCCTTCAACAAATCCGTGTTGGCTGTCCCTAATTAACCCATATTCTTCTAAGTGAAGATTTATTCTGTCCCGGATTATAGTCTCCAGGAGTTTCTCCACTACAGGCTGACTGGCCTGTAGTTCCCAGGTTTGTCCTTCTGTCCCTTTTTGTAAAGGGGAGTCACATTGGCCACTCTCCAGTCCTCTGGCACCACTCCTGTGTCCAACGAAGATTGAAAAATTGTAGCCAAAGCCTCCATTATTTGTACCCGTGCCTCCCATAGTAACCTTGGTTGCATCTCGTCCGGACCGGGCGACTTATCTACCTTCAGCGCAGTCAACCTTTTCAGTACTTCCTCTCTGTTTATACTTATCCTATCCATTTCCTCTACGCTCTCCTCTGATACTGCGGCATTTGGCGCATCCACTTCTTTTGTGAAGACAGATGCAAAGCACTCATTCAGCACATCAGCCATGCCCTTCGCCTCCACAATAAGATTTTCCCCTTGGTCCTTAATTGATCCCACCCTACCTTTGACTAGCCTTTTTTTCTTGATATGCTTGTAAAATATTTTAGAATTCCCTTTAATGTTACCCGCTAACCTTTTTTCGTATAATCTTTTTGGCCTCTTATTTCCTTTTTCAAACCTCTTCTGCACTTCCTATATTCTATTTGGTTGTCTTCTGTATCTTGGGTTTGACATTTGTCATACTCCTCCTTTTTCTGCTTCATTCTAGATACAATTTCCTTCGTCATCCAGGGAGGTTTGGAAGCCATACTTTTCCCTTTTGTTGGAATGTATTTATTCTGTCCCCGAGCTGTCTCATCCTTGAAGACTTCCCACTGCTCTTTAGTTGTTTTACCTGCCAATCTTTCTTTCGAGTCCACCTTGGCCAGGTCCCTTTTTAACTCACTGAAATTTGCCCTCTTCCAGTTGAATATCTTCACCTTAGATGGTTCCTTGTCTCTTTCCATATGCACTCTGAATCTAATGATATTATGATCACTATTGCCCAGATGCTCTCCCACTGAAACCTGCTCCACTTGCCCTACTTCATTCCCCAGAACTAGATCTAGCACTACTTCCTTCCTTGTTGGGAACGTACTGATCAAGTTGTCCTGTATCATTTTAGGAATATTTCCCCCTCCTTGCCCTTTGCGCTGTTGTTTTGCCAGTTAGATGGTGACATGTTAAATGGTGCAGAATTTGGTAAAGTCTCAATTTTGTCCTGCTCATCTACATATCCAACAACAACTTGCATTTATATTGCGTCCTTCACATTGGATAATGTCTCATAATTACAGAGTCGAATACCAAGTAGTGGGAGAGATAAGGGGGAAAGGGAAAGTCGCCATGAGAGTGATTGAAGAGGTAAGTTTCTAGGCAGGATTTAAAGACAGATACAGCAACAACAAATTACATTTATACATCGCTCTTCACTTGGGTGCTGAGCAAGGGTGAAGGAGGAGGTGGCCTTAGGCGCGGCCGAAGATGTAGGTCTTGCGATCTGCCTTAAGATAGAGAGACGATGGATGAGATGAATGAGTAAAAGGAGGGAGTTAGAGAGGTTAGGGGTATTGCAGTTGAATGTTTGGGCACTGATTGTCGCATGGAAGCGAAATAGGAAGTTGCTAAGGTGTGAAGGTGTTCATAGGTGAGGAACTTGAAGTGGAACCTTGAAGTATCTTCTAATGATGTGTGTTTTCTTCTCTCACCTCCCATCCCTCCCCTCCACTCCACCTCCCTCACTCAGTGCCTGTGCGCCCCAGGATGGAGGGGTGAATTCTGCCAGTTTGTGGAGAACGCATGTCTGATTTATCCTGATCACTGTCAGAACAAAGCCACCTGCCTAGACACCAGTGGATCCAAGGAAACTCCACAATATGAATGCCGGTGCCTAACTGGTTACACAGGTAAGCCAGAGATTATGGGATATCATAAGAACATAAGAATTACTAGATAGAAGAAGACCAAGGACTTTCCAATTCACTTTCCACCATCCATGACATAAGCAGTAGCTTGTACATGTTATGTCCCAAACTATATGCTACATCCGAGATATTATTAATCCTAAGAGAAATCTATCTAATTTGTTCTTGAAAGAAACAACACTTCCTGCTTCCACCATATCCCTTGGGAGCCTGTTCCATACATTTACTACTCGCTCACTGAAGTAGTGTTTCCGCAGATTAGTTTTGAATTCACCTCCTTCATTCGTAGGTCATCTCCTCCATTTTACTATTTAGTACAGTATAAAACAGCCTATCATTGACTACATTATCTAGTCCATTCATAATCTTAAAGACCATAATCATATCGCCCCTCAACCTTCTCTTCTCCAGTGTGAACATGCCCAGTTTACCTAATCGCTCCTCGTAGTCCAGTCCTTCCATTCCTCAATCGTTCTGGTTTGCCCTCCCCTCTCAATCACTGTAATATTGTAATATAATATTTTTNATATTGCGGTGACCAGAACTGCACTAGTGGGGGCTGCACCAATGATTTATAAAGTGGCAGGATTACCGCATTATACTGGCTCAATAGCGATTCAGACTATATTGGATATAGTTTGAAATTGATTCAGTATCAGTTCAGATGAAGAAAGCTATGATCCTTCCTGCCAGTGTAGTGAACTCAAATCAACACATTATGTTGCACTGAGACATAGAACAGGAAGCTTAGAGTTGTAAAGGGCAATTTCAGGACAATTTCTTTACACAGAGAATAATCAAGAAATGGAATAGATCACTGGGAAAGTGATTGAAGTCAGGACACTGGACTCATTTAAAAAGCAGCTTGATCTTGTGATGGAGTTAGAGGGTGGATGATCTGGAAGAGTGAGATCAGATGGGCCAAGGAGAAATCTTCATCCAAATTAATCTTATGCTTTTGTGAATGTCATAGCCAGACTCCCGACGAACTGCGGCTTTCATTGATTGGCTCAAAAAACTCTCTATAGTTGGAAAAGCATGACCTGCCATTCAGATAAATTGGGACCATTCTGGGACTTCACATGGTCACAAGGTTCAGATGAAGAACAGCCACTCTGCTGTCTCCCATCACAGCATCAAGCTGTTTAGTAAATGAGTCCAGTGTCCTGGCCTCAACCACCCTTCCTGATAACAATGTTCTTGGAATCGATTACCCTCTCAGTAATGAGATGTGTCCCAGAGTCAGTCCTGAAATGGATCTTTGCAACAACAACAAATCACATTTGTACAACAACAGCAACAACTTGTATTTATATAACGCCCTTCACAAGGGGCACTCTCTCGGATCTCTTAAAATGGTGTAGTTTGACGCTGAGCCATATATATATACATACATATATATATATTTATACATGTGTACAAAGGAAATTAGAGATGTTTTAATCATACAGGCAAGGAATCTGCAATCCTTTTTCATGGGTTGTACGTTTCATAAGAACTTGCTTTTTTATAACGCTTATATCTCGAAAAGTCTTTGCCATTCACCCAAAGATCCAGCCCAGAAAATAAGTTTTAAACCAAATAAAATACTTACCCAACTCTCTGAGGGTTGATGAATGAAAAAAACAAATTTTATTTATGTAATGCCCTTCCTGTAGAATAACATCTTGGAGTGCTTCACAGTGTATAATGATTCTCCCGAGAAAGACAAGGGTTCCAGTTAATGTTCCCATTGGCATAAGGAATTAATCCATACAGCAATTAAAAGTTATAAAGGGTTTATTTTTACCTCACTCAAAGCAATTTTGAAACCCAGCATAATTGAGTGTCTTGGCCAACAACCCTAAATAAAATTGGTCATTCACTCTATAGCTGTTTGTGGGACATTAATGTGCACAATTGGCTGCAGTGTTTTGCCTACAAAAGGTAGTCAAATCCTTTTGACAGTATATCTTGTGGAGCATTTTGAGACAGCTCAACAATGTGGCAAGGCACGATACGAAATACAAGGATTATTATTATTATCATTATTATTTGGTATAGTGCCATTTCACATCGGGAGGACGGCCCGAAGCACATCACAGGATTTATTGTGAAGTGGTGTGATTGGTACATTTGTGGGCGAACACAGCAGCCAATTTTCCGCACAGCTCTATTAAGAAAGAGAAGGGAGCTTCTCATGATTTTCTCCTGGCCAACAATCCCCTTCCACAGTAATTCCTATGAAGCTCTTTGAGACATCCTCCTGACATGACAGACACTGTACTTTTATTTGGTGTGGCTCGGTATTAATTGAACGCTGAAAAGGACTGATTATCACTTGTCGCTGAGGCTAAGTTACGAAGCTCAGTCATAAGACGTTAACGTGTCAGTCCCGCGATAAGCCGTACGCTCTGACGTGGAATATTCCCTCCCAATGCTGCCTCCAGGCTCCGAACGCATTCCCTTGTGTCTGATGTTCACTTTCTACCCAGAGTGGCCCCAGGCTTTTGGTGGGAGATACAGCACAGACAAAAAAAAATCATTGGCGGCTTGTTGACCAGAGCTGAGGCACCAAAGTAAATCATTGCGTTCTGCAGTCTAATTCAATGTGGCACTCACGATTACTGGGGAGCAAAAGGACAAAGTAAAAGACTCGGAGCTAAACCTAAAGCTCAATGATGAAGCTACGTTGACAGGAGGAATGCACTGAGCGAGTTTCTGGATCAGCATTGGGTGAGGAGGCGGGGGGATGTGATGCCATGAGAAACTGTAGAGAAACGTTACCAAAACCTCTCCAGTTGGTCTGAAGTTTAGTAATATTCCTTGCATTTGATACAGTGTCTCATTGGAGTGTCACAAAGCATTTGATGGATTTCATTCTAAATTCTCATAATATATTCACTCTTATCTTTGATACATCATCTTTCACGTACCAGGAGGACATCCTAAAGAGCTTCATAGGAATTACTGCAATGTGTTGTGACTGTGTTGGCAAATGGTACAGCCAGTTGTTACACAGTAATGTGTTCCGCAAACAGCCCATAAAATGAATCACCAATTTTTATCTGGGGGATTGTTGGCCAGGATATCACGAGAAACTCATTTATGTTTTCAAATAATTACATTGGATCTTTAACGTCAGGTAACATCTTATGCAAAGGATGATGTATGGATGTTATTTGGACGTGTATTGGGTGATATTTGGATGAGTGGGTGTTGTTTCATAATGCTTTCAACTCTTTCGAAGTCACAGTCAAGGCCTTGTGATTTCACATGGACAGTTTAAAGTGGATGGCACCTCCAAACAATAGAGTACTCCTCCTAGACTGCATTGGAGCATCAGTCTAGGCTGTGAGTTCAAAGGAGTGGAGTCCTGTGGCATATTGATTAGAGCACTCGTCCCGCAAGCAAGAGGACCTGGGTTCGATTCCCGAGCAGGGTAAAGCTTTAGGCAAGTTTCCTTACTCCACACGCCTCTGTTTACCAAGCAGTAAGTAAGCTGTTAGTCAATTGGCGGATCGCTTTCCGGGAATAATAATCTCTCAAACAACAAATGATTTTGTGACTCAATCCACGACTGTTTGTGAGACACTGCTGTATACAATTCACTTTACAATATATGTTGTGAAGCACTTTGACACATCTCAACAACAACTTTTTCTCTGCTGAAGACCTTTCTTTTCGACCGCGCATTTGGTCACCTTCCCCCCCCTCCCCCCGACTCAGTCCCGGGATCCGAAACTGTAAAGCGCTCTGAGACGCCGTCCGGCGTGGAGGGCACTATATAAATCCAAGTTGTTGTTGTTGTTGATAAGGCATGACAAAATGACAAACATGACAGGAGTCCTGTAGCTCAGTGAATAGAGCACTTGCCTCGCAAGCGAGAGACCTGGGTGCAATTCCCAGAAGTGGTAGACATTGAGCAAGTTTCCTTACTCCACACGCCTGATAAAAATCCCTCAAGAAAATAAAACACTAATAAAATTGGTCACTTCAACCCACGACTGTTTGTGGGACACTGCCGTGCGCAATTGGCTGCTGCATTCTGCCCACAAATATAATCAATTTACAATACAGTATATTCTGTGAAGGCGCTTTGAGATATCTAGAAGACATTGAAAGCGCTATATCAAATGCAAGAATTATTATTATATTATTATAAATACAATCAATATTATATTATTATTAAAGTCCTGGCATGGAGCATGAGCCCACAATTTCTGCCTCAGAGGTAAGAGAAGTACCAACTGAGCCAGTAGTGACTGTGTTTTCTCAGCCAGTTCTTGAATAAACATGCCAGCCTGATTGAAGTTTGTATTTATTTGACTTGCAGTAAGACATCAGCTTAGTAATTAAGAAACACTGTCTTGAGCTGAAACCTTTGTGCACGCCTCAGTAAGGATTAAATTACCCCAGAGCAGCAATTACAACGGAACAGGCTATTTTTTTGTTGTTGTCTGCATTTGATAAACTACTTGTCACACGCTTCCTTTTTTCTTCAATTTGATGTTCGCTTTTTCCATTTCCAATTTTCTTTCTCTGCAAGTGACAGCAGAGGGAACCCTGTGAAGGAATAAATAGAAAGGGCCTGACTTTCCCGAAGCCAAATTTAACCCAAGGCTTCGGAATTCTAGCCAGTCTTAGCCTTGAGATCCTTAGTCGCCAACTTAAAGTTTAAGATGTTATTGGCATTTGGGAAAATTCTTTATTCCACTCTTGATTGGGGTTTTCCGTAGTTCTTTATTAACAACGATAATAATAACAACTAACTAATAATTCTTGTATTTAATATAGAGCCTTATTGCGTCTTCGAGATGACTCAAAGCGCTTCATTCGCTTGTGAGGCGAGTGCTCTAACCACTAAGCTACAGGATTCCACGAGTCCACAAATTAAGACTGGGTACTAGAAATTTCCACAACTTGCCACTGCATCTTAATTGTTCTAGAGGCTAAGGCAGGAAGGATAGAAATTTCCCCCTCACCCAGCCAGGAGGGGAAATGTCCCAAGATCCCAGTACCTTGGCATGTCATCCTGACGTGAAAGTCACTATGTAAATGTAAATTTGTATTTTATTCACAATTACCACTGGTGATAATTGTCACATCACCCAATAAGTTCTTTACCCCTGTTCCCTGTCTCCATTCCCCATTGCAACGTGTAGGATGGAATCACGACTAATGGTTTGTGTGGCCAGGAACAGACAAAGCAAAGTCACAGGCCCACAGTCCCTTGGCCCTCTCAGTATGGCACTCTGTTGATCACTCATGCATTTTTTTTCTTTAACCAGTTCCAAAAAAACAATTGTAATTTGTTTTGTGCGTTTGGTAGAACACACAATTCTCTCAGGCAGCAGGCCATGTAATGTGAAAGCTGGTGCATTTGTGCGAGATGAATAAACATTTGCTTATCGACTGGAGAGGTTTTGTGTGCGAGGAGGACATCAGGAAGGGAAAGCAGGAAGAATGATGGAGAGGAGGTGAGGGGGAAAGGGACTGCGGTGAAACAATTCACGACACCACAGGATTGGTTTGGATGAAGAAGGCCCTTCGGCCCATCCAATTTCAATCTTTGCTCACTCGTTTGGTAGCTGTTTGTGGGACATTACTATATGCAATTATGCTGGCGCATTTGCCTACAAACACAGTTTCATTTCACTTCACAGTATATCCTGTGAAGTTCTTTGGGACTTCCTCCTGTCCAGCGGTTTGGGACGTCCTCCCGACGTGAAAAGCGCTCTAAAATAGAATCTTGTTGTTGTTGTTGTTGATGATGTGAAAGGCGCTATACAAAATGCAAGGGTTATTATTATTGTTATTTTTCTTATTATTATTATTTCAAGGCAACCACAACAACAGGGCAACCTGTTCCGTTTGTTAATTACCCTCTGAGTAAAGAAAAACTTCCTGGTGTCTGTCCTGAAATTGCACTTTACAACTCCAAACCCGTGTCCTCATGTTTTACTGTCTTGGTGAATCCTAAAGTATTATTCTGGGATTACTATTTCAATCCCATTTGATATTTTACACATCCCTAAATTGTCTTCTTTCGAGACTGATTTCACAAGATTGGTTTGGATGAAGAAGGCCAATGGGACTCATTTTAAGAAAGCAGCTTGATGCTGTGGTGGTACAGTGGGTGTTCTGGAAGGATGAGATCAGATGGGCCGAAGGGCCTTCTGCATCCAAAACAATCTTGTGATCTTGTGTTTCCGCTCTTTATATCTACAAAAGGCATCAACGGAGTGCACGTAAGATACAGCACTTGAAGCTATTGGGAAACATCAATAGTCTCCTGTGTTGTGGTGGTAGGTTTTCATATCGGAACTTAGGGAATCTTTACTTTCACTTTATGTGGTAAAATGATGATTGCCCGAGGCATTAATGAAACATTAGAGACAATAATTGACTTAACGAGAAGGTAAAATATAGTTCTAATTGAAAGTCCCAGCTTCTTTTATGCTGGAGGAGCCGACTGAGAGATAATTAAAGCTGGAGGCACAACATGGCTGCTTTAATTAACTTGGAGGCACAGATTCGGAATCAAATCCAAAGGAAACCTTCATATCCATGAGCTGAACAGATACATCATAATCACACTGTTGAATACAATTTCTGTGAAAGGCTGTGAAATTACGTAAAACCTTGTAATTTCAGAAAGCAACTTCCAAACAATGAGAGCGAGCTTTATCTCTGGTGTGTTATTATGTGTAACTTCAAAACTACTTTGTAGATAAAATGTTAAAGATAAGCATTGCATTGATGTCAGTCTGGCTCATTTGGTAGCACTTTTGCCTCTGATCGTCAGGTTGTGATTCAAGTCCCATGTCGCGACTTTAAGATCACAGTCAAGGCTGTCATTCCAGTGCAGTACTGGGAAAGTGCTGCTTTGCCAGAGGTGCCGTCCTTCTGATGTGACTATAAACCAATGTCCCACCTGCCTGGTCAGGTGGACGTTAAAAATCCTGAAAACCCTGAAAAATTCCTCAAGGAGTTTCTTCCGCTTTCCTGACCAACAATCCCCTTCAGATAAAATTGGTTGTTTTGGGGACATTGTTGTGTGAAAGTCGATTGCCACATTTGCCTACGCAATGCACAGACACTACACTTTACAGTAAAATCCTTTGAAGTGCTTTGAGATGTCCTCCCAACATGAAAGGCTCTGTATCAAAAGCAAGGATTATGATTATTATTATTAGCATGGAGAATTTTCTACAATTCCATAATTAATTAATGATAATAATATGGTCACTCAATATACGACTGTTTGTGGGACACTGCTGTGTGCATTGGCTGCTGCTTTTCTCCCACAAAATACACAGTCAATTTAATTTACAGTATATTCTGTGAAGTGCCTCGAGATGTCTCGAAGACATCAATAAGTTCTATATCAAATTCCAGGATTACTTATTGTTATTATTAGATCCACAAGTTGATGGTTGAGATCATACAAAATTTCTGTGAATTTTCACTCTAAACACTGTAGGGAAGGTTACATTGATTGCTGTGTGCAATTGGCTGCCGAATTTCTCCAACAAAATATATGGTCAATTCACTTTACAATATATTCTGTGAAGCGCTATGAGACGTCTCAACAAAGTGTTAACGCACTATATCAAATCCATGGATTATTATTACTATGACATCTGATATTTTTCTCCCTTTAACGCCAGCCACCCTTCACCCCTTTGAATGTTCTTCTGGGTTCCTGGAAGAAATGTTGTTGGCATTTCTCAAAGTACAATGTCACACTGTATACAGGAGATGAATAAGGCATTTAGAGTGCATTTGTCTTGCTTCATTTCTTTTTTTCCAATCAGTTTACTATAGAAACTCTGTTTAGTAACAGGATATCCAAGTTGTGGCTGCCTTTCACCGTATGAATTTCGAGATATAGTGCTTCCATCAAAAAACACTTTGATCTATAAAAATCCTGAGGGAATCTGTTCTCTCAACATAAAGAAACGGATACCACTTTTTCCTTTTATTATTGCACAACAATGTTTACAGGTTTCCTGGCATGTATTTTGAGTTGAGCATCCAACATTTAATAACATAATCCTTGTATTTAATACAGAGCCTTTCATGTTGAGAGGACTTTTCAAAGTGCTTCATAGGAATTACAACACGAATAACAACAACAACTTGCATTTATATAGTGCCCTTCATGCGGGGTAGCGTCCCGGAGCGCTTGACAGTGGCGAAATCTGACCTTGAGCCGGGAAAGAGGAAGGGGGGAGCTGACTGTAGGCACGATCAAAAGGTAAGGAAGAGCGAGGGCATGAAGGGATTTGAAAACGAGTGAGAGGATCTTGAAATCAATCCGTTTGGTAACTGGGAGCCAGTGGAGCCTGGCAAGAATTGGTATCTTGCATTTGATATAGCGCCTTATCATGTCATTGGGATGTCTCAAAGCCCCTTACAGAATAGACTGTAAAGTGAATTGATTGAATTTTGTTGGTGAAATGCAGCAGGCAATTACTCACAGCAGTGTCCCACAAGCAGTCATGGATTGAGTGACCAATTTTTTTTTGGAAGGGTATGGGAAGGTCTAAGGAGTTGGTGGAGAGTTGGGTATTAGAAACACCAGTGCGGAGTGGTTGGGCCGAGGGGCCTGTTTCCATGTTGTACATTCTTTGTAAATGATCCTGACTGCTCTCCTTCAATCATCAGGACTTCACTGCGAGCTGGAAATTGATGAGTGCTCTTCAAACCCATGCCAATCTGGGGGCACCTGCAGGGATGATGTTGGATATTACAATTGTATCTGTCCTGCTGGTAAGTTGTAAAGATTCACATCACATTGAGAAGAATGGGTATCTAAGAGTGAGTTGTCACTTTCACAGCAGTACATTGGACACCCTGTGTCAACAGGGCTCAGTCGGTGGCAACCTCGCCTTTGAGTAAGAAGGTTGCAGATTTAAGCCCCACATCTGGACTTTGAACTTACACAGTCTAGGCTGACAGTCCATTTGTAAGTTGCGTTGACTCGTGTTACATTGAGAGTGAAATGGACAACCACGGGGAGATGGCAAAGGGTTATAATTCTGTTGGGTACAAAGAGCCTCCTTTGGTAGAAATCTGATCCAACCTCACAGGTCGGTCAACGAAGGTAATCTTAAATGCTTAAGCACATGTTTAGTGCTAAAGGATGCAAATGTCATAAGATACACATTATCCCATTGTCGAGATCAAATTGGTTTATTCAGCACCTTCCTGGCTGGCAGAGTTCAGGTCCTCACTTCACTTTGTGAAGATTCCAAGATATACATCTGCATCCCCTCGGTCTATAGTACAATGTCCATACACCAAGCCTCTACACGAATAGCTCAGTAGGGTTTCAGCTATGTATGACAGCATTCTCTGGACTTCACTGCAGGAAGCTGTGGTTTGGGTCCTCTTAAGCACGGTGATGGGTTTCCAAGACACCCAGCTAAACCCCCAAAAATGCTGCGGTTGAAGCAAATACAAATCACTATACAAAATAACATTTGTACAGCGCCTTTCACGTCAGGAGGAGGTCCCAAGGTGGCATTGTAGGATGTAGCATGAGCGTATTTTACAATAATAATAATGATAATCCTTGCATTTGAAGTAGCGCCTTATCACGACTTTGAGACTTCTCAAAGTACTTCAACAACAACTTGCACTTATACCTCACCCTCCACACAGGATAGTGCACAGAACATGCCTCACAGAATATACTGTGGATTGACTTTTAGAAAAAAACTGATGATTGCATGAAGTAGGAGGGAATAAAGGGGTATAAATGAGGGGCATTGGAGGCGTGGAGGCTCATGTGGAGTATAAATATTGACATGGACTAGTTAGGAGTCTACCAAACTAAAATCCTACAATACGGCTAAATAAGTTTGTGACACACGAGAGCACAGTTTGGTTCCTTGAAGAGATTAGTAGATCAGAGTGATTGTATTCCACCGTTCGTATCTTTTGTTCTGTTTGGCCTAATATAATATGATACGGAATGTAAAAGCATAATTAGTTAGACTTATAGTTGCTACGTTACTGAGAGGGCCGGGCACTGTGAGGGGAATATTAATGTCGGTTGGAAGTGATGCCCCAGTAAATCTCATCAAAGAGCTTCATGGCTGATTACAAGGTCCACACATTGGAATGACAATTGGAAGAGCCACAGGAAAGGTCTAATAACATTGTGATTCTCTCCTTATCAGTGTTTTACTGATTAATAATGCAGTTTGGATCTATTCATAATTCAGTACTCCCGGCAGTCTCAAGACATAGCTGTAGAGAAAGAGAGAGAGAGAGAGAGAGAGAGAGAGAAAGAAAGAGAAAGACTAAAACATTGTTCCCTCATCAATGAGAACTCCTGCATTCAAGAGGAAAAGTAATCCGTGGATAGTTGCAGTAAGGAAAATTAGGAAGTTACAAATCTGCAGGGATCCAAGAAGAAACTTGTCTCATTAGAAGGATGAGCTGAATATAAAGTGGCAGGATGTAGAGCTCACCTCCAGAGGTGTGCATCCGATCGCACAAGTTGCAAAGCATAGGGTCCACTGTGAATGTTGCACGTGTGGGCATGGAGTACTGCTCCCACACCAACTAGATGAAGCAAGTCCCTGAAAATGCAGACATGAGCTTTCCAACTACAGAACGACTCCCTTACTTATTACTGTCTGGTTCTTCCATGCTAACACTGAGATGAAAAACAGGGCATACATTTATTATATTAATCCCTTTTACTGTGAAGTGTAGCTAGTTGACTTTGTATTTTCTAGGCAAATGTGGCAGCCAATTTGCACACAGCAATGTCCACACAAACAGCCATGAAGTGAATGTCCATTTCTTTTATCTTGGGGATAGTTGACCAGGACATCGGGAGAAATTTCCTTTTCTTTTTGAGTAGTGTCACGAAAATCTTTAATGTCTACATGAACAGGAAGACGGGACCTCGGTTCCACATCACGTCCAAAACCACAGCACCTCGGACACTGCAGTTCTCTCCCCACATTTTATCAGTATCAGTCCAGACTGTGAATTCAAAGTCCCAATGTGGAGCTTGAATCAACATTCTTCTGAGTCAGAGGTGAGAGTGCTACCACCATGATAAATAAATGAAAAATTTATGCGTTTCATTTGTGATGCATTTCACATTGGGCAGACATCTCGAAGATCTTGATAGGATTTACTATTGAGTGTAGTGACTGTATATAATAATAAAAATTTGATATTGCGCCTCATCACATCTTCGAGATATCTCAAAGCGCTTCACAACAACAACAAAGACAGTAACTCGAAGAGCTTGAATTCACTTTACAATATATTCACAGAATACAGTGTAAAGTGAATTGATTGTGTATTTTGTGGCAGACAATTGCACACAGCAGTGTCCCACAAACACTTGTGGCTTGAGTGTCCAATTTATTATTATTATTTTTAAAGGGATTATTACCCCCAGGAAAGCGATCTGCCAATCAACTAACAACCAGGTTCTTACTTAGAGAGCCATGTGGAGTAAGGATACTTGCCTAAGGTTTCGCCCTACCCAGGAATTGAACCCAGGTCCTCTCGTTTGCGAGGCGAGTGCTCTAACCAATACGCTGTAGGACTCCACAAATTCTGCCCTTATTGTTTTCTGATGGCACTGCAGTTTTGAGACCAGCTGTGTTCGAGTGTCTGAGTCTGCACAAACAGTGTCCGCTCCTCATTGCTCTTGTATGAAAAGTTTACCTGTCATGTAGGACCCATTATTTGGCAAGCAATGACAGCCTCTGGCAACTCTTCAACGCTCCAATTTCTGCTGACGATAAAAGAAGCAAAAAACAAAGCTAATGTGCATTGGAAATGTGTAACATAGGGATGAAACCTGTTACGAGTGATGTGGTCGAGGACAGTCAGCAAGTAAACACTTATCCTTTGATGTTGGATCTTCTTAGCAATGTGAAGCAAAATTCGTCAAGAGTTAGAGTTAGGGTTGATTGTTCACCCAATAGTAGTAATAATAATAAGAATAAGAATCATTACATTTGGTATAGCATCTTTCACGTCAGGAAGACATGTCAAAGCGCTTCACAGGATTTACTGTAAAGTGTAGCGACTGTGCATTTGTAAGCAAACACAGCAACCGATTTGGTCACCACAGTTTGGATTGAATGACCATTTTTTATTTGGGGGATTGTTGCCAAGGACACTGGGTAAATCTTTAAAGTCCGTCTGAACAAGCAAAAAGAACCTTGTTTTAAATTTTCATCTTAAGCGAGAGACCTGGGTTCAATTACCAGCAGGGCGAAACATTGAGCAAGTTTCCTTACTCTATACGTTTGTGTTTACCTAGCAGTGAGTAGGAACCCAGTTGTTAGTCAATTGGTGGATCATTTTTCTAGATTGAGTGACCAAATTATTATTGTTTGCAAAGAAATGCAAGGATTATTAATATTTGTCATTTTCACTAGCAGCAAGTTGGCTTCCCTCCAGCCTTGCCCTCATACTCCATGAAATTTTATTTCTTGTAGGATTTGAAGGCAGGAACTGCGAAGTGGATGTGGACGTGTGCACAGCACTTAACGTAACCTGCCCGAAGGGATCACAATGCGTAGACCAACCTGTCAGACTCGAGTACCTCTGCCTCCATCCGTGCTCTCAAAATGTAAGTGGGTTGTTCCTTACAATGTATTTAGGGTCAAAAGCCCGTTGAGACAAAAGGCATGTAACAAAATGACACCACACAAGATTACAAGGGAGGTTTGGATGAAAAGGTCCTTCAGCCCATTTGATCTCGTCCTTCCGGAAGGCCCGCCTTGCCTTCCTCCCATCACAACATGAAGCTGTTTTTAAATGAGTTCCAGTGTCATGGCATAAACCACTGTTCTTGTTAATCTTTACCAGTCGTTATGCACATACACGTCAGTCAGGTCTGGATATTCTTAAGCACGGTGACAGGTTTCTGCATGTGTCAGACACCCGGCTGATCAAAATAAAACTCTAGCACTGTATAGCACCTGATAGGTAATGGCTGACAAGTGTAGTGATCATGTATTTGGTAGACATTTATGGCCCAGGAAAGTTGGACAAATAAGCTTTAAAGTGAGTGATCAATTTTATTTGGGGCATTGTTAGCATAGGACACAAGGAGAAACTGCTGACTCATTCTGAAGAGGTACAAGGGATCATTAACATCTATCTGAACGGGAAGATGAAACTTTAGTGATGATAATAATAATATAAACTATAGTATAATATCTCAACCAAAGGAGAACTCTGACAATATAACACTTCCCCAACATTGTGCTAGATTGTCAAGAGAATGGGTTTGTGAACTTAAACACCAAATGTGGGACGTGAATCCATAGTCTTCTCACCCAAGGGTATGAGAGGGGCAACTGAGCTGTGCTGACTGGCATCTGGTATTTGAATATAATATTTATCACTCGCTCCTCTATCTTTTCCCTACTCTTCAATATACAAGTATCTATTTTATAACAATGACAACGTATGGGATTTAGATAGTGCCCTTCACGCAGGGTAGAGTTTCGGAGCAGAGCAGCAAGATTAAATGCCGAGCCAGGGAGAAGAGGCAGGTGAGGTGACTATAGGTGTGGTCAAAGAGGTCAGTCTTCAGGTAGGATTTAAAGATAGATAAAGGGAGGCGGGGTGGTGGGGGAAGGGATTGAGACAAGGAGTTACAGAGATTAAGAGTGCAGTGGCTGAAGGCTTGGCCACCGACAGTGGTGTGAAGGGGTCGGGGGATGCTCATCAGGCCTGTGTTAGCTGAGTGAAGGGAGCGGACAGACAAATGGGGTCTGAGCAGGTCAGAGAGGTAGTGAGGTGCTTGGGGCCTATGTGAGGGATTTGTAATGTCAGAGTGAGGATTTGAGGGTCAAGAGCCTTAAGTAAAAATTAGGTCAGCAGGATGCATCCCTCCAGAGAGAATTGGAATTACCATGTGCTGGTGGGATGCATGGAATTACCTGTTTGGTTTGGATACTCTTGAGCACGGTGATGGTGGATTTCCGCATGTGTCAGACACCCGGTTGACCCCCAAAAAATGGAATGAGTCTCTTGATACTGATTTTAGCAAATGCATCAGCTACAAAAAGCTAAATGATAAACATTCCCTTCAAACCAACAACAATATTCTACAGTACAGTTCTGCCTCAACATTGACACTTGTTCAGCTAAATTGCTGGCTACAAAGTTATAATCTTCTGGAAAATTAAAATCTCCATTTACTTCTCCAGTTCTCCATCTTCTCCTCCCTGAAGTGCAGCAAAAGTTTGAGATGGGTACTGTATAAGGATCTGAGTGGTATATATACTGAAAATGAGTACAAAGAGTGGATTGATAATGAGCTAACTACAGTCTGCCTGTGTGAAATTATGGAGTATTGCTATCAAAGGCATGCTATTATATTTGAAACATGCTGCACTCAATTGATTTGTGTGTGAATGCTTGCGTGACGGGTGTACATCTGTATGTGTATGTATGTGTGTATGCATTGGCATCATTTTATGTCAGTTCAGAACTCTTCCTGAAATCCCTCCACTCACCACTTATGGTGTATCCTGTGAAGCCTTTTGAGTCATCCTGACATGAAAGGCGCTACACCAAATATAAGGATTATTATTACTAATTATTTTATTATATGAGTGTGAGTTGTTGTAATTGCTCATGCTGCCTGTTCATTTTTCACTAGATAATTATTTGGGGAGGACAAGTTTGCAGGGCTATGGGAAGAGAGCAGAGGAGTGGGATCGAATTGGATAGGTCTTTTCAAAGAGCTGGCACAGTCAAGATGGGCCGAATAGCCTCCTTCTGTGCAGTATAATTCTATAATTCTATGATTCAGTCTCACAGAGTGGAAATGCTGAACTGCTGAAAGCAGGGAGTGTAATATAGATAGAAAAAATACATTGAAGTGAACATCAACTCCGCAGAATAAGGCAGCCACACATTCAAAGGGCAGAGTGAGGTGACAGCTCTCTGGCTCTATGAGCTGAGCGGGCCGGGCTCAGTAACCCGCTCTGTGTGGCGCTGTTGATCCGAATGGAAGTGAACAGTGTTTATTAGTAGGCAATAAGGCGCCTGTAACAATTTCCACCCCTCGCAATTCCCTTGCAAGAGATCAACAGCTTATTACACAAACAAAGTAAGTGCGGCAAATACATCCAATATTTTCAAGAGCGAGGTTGCGATAAGAAATATTACCATGTCTCTTTGGGACCTTATCGTGTTTCCTTTGAATTAATACTGTGTTTCTCGGGGCAGCTTGTATTGATTTCCTGATTCAGATCCACTCTGCAGTTTTGTTTCTTTGCAGCGAAATGAAAACACAACGGAATAGACCTGCCTTACCTGATAACTTGCATTGCTCAACATCGTTTCATCATTCCACCTTCTCATTTCGGCATTAATGTAGTATAAATATGTGGCACACTGCACATTAGATTATGCCATCAGTTTTCTTTCATCTTCTACACACCAATATTACAACAACAAAATTACATTTATAGAGCGAATTTCATGTTGGGAGGATATCCCAAAGCGCTGGATAGTCAAGATCAGGTCTCGGTCAGGATCCGAGCATGGGGAAGGGGTGGGGTAGGGGTGAGGGAAGGCAGAGAGGTGGGAGGGAAACCAAAAGCACGGTCGAAGAGAAGGGTCTTGAGACCAGCTTTGAGGGAGGCAAGGGAGGAAGCGAGGCAAAGGGACCGTGGGATGGAGTTCCAGAGTGTGGGGGCAGAGAGGCTGAAAGCCCGGCCACCGACGGTAGGGCAGGTCGGGCAGTGCAGAAATTGACTAGTCCCATATGTACTGAGAGAGGGAAAGGAGATTGTTGCATTGTCACAGGTGCCGTTATTCGGATGAATGTTAAATTCAGGTCACGTCTGCCTGTTCAGATGGACGTTAAAGATCCCATGGTACTCTTCGAGAAAGAGAGGGAGTTTTCCCTGGTGTCCACGCCAACAATCGCCCAAATAAAATTGGTCACTTACTCCATGGCTGTTTGTGGGACACTGCTGGGTGTCGCACAAATTAGCTGCCACATTCAACCGCAAAATATACAGGCACTGCACTGCTGACACGAAAGGTGCTATATCAAATGCAAGGAATCATTATTATTATTTAATGCCCTGATGCTCTGCTGGGGAAATCGTAAATTTAAATGAGAGTTTAAAAGAGTTTCTCTCTGTGTGCTGGCCGACAATGTTTCATACTAAACAAGTGTTTGTGGGACTTTGCTGTGTGAAAAATTCTGCATTCTCCTACAAAATACACAGTCACCACACTTCTCAGTAAAATCCCGTGAAGTGTTTTGACATCTCAACGGCATGATATCAAATGCAAGGATTATGTCAAATGCAAGGATTATGCTTTTACAATGCAATGCAATTGATACTGATACAGTACCTTTTAAGCCCTCCATAGCCTCACCCCACCCTACCTGTGCGACCTCCTAACCCCCTACCAACCCGCCCGTTCCCTCCGCTCAGCTGGCTCTGGCCTGCTCCATGTCCCCCGCCCCATCCGCCCCACCATTGGCAGGAGAGCCTTCAGCCACTCTGCCCCCAATCTCTGGAATTCCATCCCCCAGTCACTCCGCCTCGCCCTTAGCCTCCTTCAAGTCCCACCTCAAGACACTCCTCTTCGATCATGCCATTGGCCACCTTCCCCTCCCCTCCCTTACCCCCCTAACCCCAGCTCGGGTCTGAAATGCTGTACTCTGTCCAGCTCCTTGGGACGTCCTCCCGACCTGAGAGGCACTGCACAAATGTAATCTTGTTGTTGTCGAGAACGTGGGGGGGCATTATGATTATTATTCTAATACGGATCCTGAGCAGATACCTATCCACTATTAAGGAATCATTAATAATAATAATAATCCCTCCATTTGATAGAGAGCTTTATTACGTGGTCGAAATGTATCAAAACACTCACTGAATGTATTGTAAAGTGACTGCATTTTGTGAGCAAAATGTGGCAGCTAGTTCGCGCACAGCAGTGTCCCACAAACAGCCATGGAGTGAGTGACCAATTTTATTTTTTGTTAACTGATGAACCATTCAGAACTTCTGCTAGGAGTTCAGTGCCTTAAGATGTCCTCCCAACGTGAAAGGCGCCACACCAATGTAATTTGTTGCTGTTGTAGGACATAGTACTTAGTTTCATCCACCAACTTTTACTGGGGGAGGGGTGAAGAAGATTAGGATATTCTTTGAATGTTTCTTTTGATCACTCATTCTTATTTTCTTATTCTTCCCCCCCACCCCTGGTTCGATGCCTGGTGTCACTAGCTGTGTTCTGAGGCTGGCCGCTGTTTTGTGGGTGACGGCATACAGGACTATGTGTGTGTCTGTGCCCCTGGCTGGGCAGGAAGATGGTGCAACCTCAACATCAATGAATGCAAGGACCATTGGTGCCAAAACGGAGGTACCTGTGAAGATGGAGTCAACACGTACAGGTACCCACATCACCATTGCTCTCAGGACGTGCGCAGAACAGTCAAGCGCTTTAATGATAACAATCCTTGCACTTTTTGATATAGCGCCTTGTTACATCTTCGAGACATCTCTGCCAATACACAATGATAATAATAATAATCCTTTGAATTGATATAGCGCCTTATCACGTTGTTCAGACATCTCAAAGCACTTCACAGAATATAGTGTAAAGTGAGTTGACCTGTATATTTTGTGGGTGAAACACTTGCATCATAAAATACATTGTAAAGTGCTATGAATGTATCTTTTGAGTGAATGTGACAGCCAATAAGTGTACAGTAATGCTACTGTACTGCGCTATACAAAACTGGGGGTAAGGATTCATCCCACTCAATTTCTGTTAACCTGCAAGCTGAAGCCTTAATGAGTAGAGTGGTCCTAGCTGGACAAGCAACAGGAAAGCTTGCCAGACAGAGTTTCAATGGCAAGCTATGCGGTTTTAGTTAGACTTGAGCACACATATGAATTTCTATATGACGGTGGGATGCAGGGAGCTCTCAGTTTGGATTGGATATTCTTAAGCACGGTGATAGGTTTGTGCATGTGTCAGACACCTGACTGATCAAACAAAAATATTGTCCAAATCTCATTTACAGATTCTACATTTGTATCATTCATCCACCAACAACCTCAGCAGAATTCTTCAGCAGTTTAGCTAATGCAGTTCTGCACATTAATATTGCAGCTTTCATTAAGGAATAACATTACATTTCATATTCATATCCCTCTTCATTAGCTGTCAGTTTTGCTCTTAGGTATAAAGACATTCTCTGAATGAAAGAGAAAATATTATGTTATGAATGTCCTGATTTGTTTTCCTTTTTTTTAAATTAGCACACATATTTGCAAAGATCATCAAAAGCACTGTCAAAAGAACGTGAGCTTCACAAAATAAATGTAGCTCCATGGCAGAAACTGGGAGTCAGTAAAGTGAAAGGCAGAGGTTTTGTTTTGGTCAATCGCGTGTCTGACACATGCGGAAACCCACCACTGTGTTTAAGAGTGTCCAAACCAGACTGAGACTTCCATGCACCCCACCCACACATGGAAATTTTCATGTACTGGAGTACAAATGTTCCTGTGTCTTGAACGGAATAGAATCTGCACTCTCTCCCCTGAGGGACACACTCTGCTTATCTAATTTCCGAGAGTATTACGCACAAGCTAATCACTATTTCAAACCAAAGTAGATTTTCTCTCTTTTTTTATGGTTTATATTCCATCCTTGTCCAAATACATGCCTCGCATTCTAATCAATTGGCTGCTAATCTCATTGTTGCTTGGAGGGGTTAGCTCGCGGAAATCACACAACAAGGAATTATCCCAGCAGATCGCTGGACAGTTCAATGGATGTCTAATTGGATCTATAATGCTGGAATCAGACCATATTTCATACAACTAGTCCAGGGCTGGCTGCCTGCACATTGCACTGATGTCACTTCCTGTGTGCTGCAATGGGCACGCTATACACAGGAAGCCGTGCTGACATCACTTCCTGCGACCTGCCATACGCACCACGTGCAAGGCACACCACTGAAGTCACTTCACGATGGGAGTGATGTCCTTGGCAACCTAAAGAATAGAGGGGTTAAGGTATATGGGCATATGGCGGGTAAATGGAATTAGGTTAGAAGATCAGCCATGATCTTATTAAATGGCGGGGCAGCCTCGAGGGGCCAAATGGCCTACTCCTGCTCCTACGCCTTATGGTCTCTAACCAGTTGATCTGGAAGAATTGACCAGCAGTCAGTTTAGAGATCTCTTCCGAGATTCACAGAACACTCAGGCTACAAAAAGTAAACCTTGAGCAACTTTGAGGATCTCACCGACAGCCCGGACACCCTGCCCAGCAGCTTCGAGCGCTATCCCAACAATGATAGGTCCAACATAATTGCAATCGGTACTGCACTGTTTTGAAGGAGGAAGAAATGCATTCTTTTGGAGATTAAAAGGAAAGACATTATGAATTGATCAGCAATAAAAACAAGGGCAGGTGGACTATATCCTGCCATACTTTATCATCGAGAGACCCCTCTCCCCCTCTGTGATTGAGATTATTCCATCAAATCATTGGATCAATGGATGTTTAATTGGATCTGTAAGGCTGCAATCAGACCATATTCCATACGCCTGGCCAAGAAGCAGGGCAGCAGAAGCTTGAACCCACAGCAGGAGATGTGCAGAATGGGCTGTGCTTGGGGAATATTGCCATCTGGTCTCTTATGCTTGAATGTAAGTCAATCTCCCATTGTTTGCACTTCTCTAACCATCAACTATTTGCTCCTAAGACTAGAGGTTGCTTTGATCCAAAACATTGTGCTGGCAGAATCAACTGGGACACTGAAATGGGAAATAGATGCAGTAGTTTGGAAGTAAGGGTTTATCAGCCTGTTTTAATTGGTAGCACTCTTGCCCCTTAAGTCAGACAGTTGTGGATTCCAGCTGTGTGTTGGAATTTTGGACTTGCTCACTTCTGATGAGATGTTAAACTGAGATTCTGCCTGCCTGTTCGGGTGGATGTTAAAGATCCTGTGACATTACTTGAAAAGCGAAGAGATTTTCTCCCAGTGTCCTGGCCAGCAATACCCTAGATAAAATTGGTTACTCACCTCATTGCTGTTTGGACATTGCTGCACGAAAATTGGTTGCTGTGTTTACCTACACAATACACACTCACTCTGCTTTACACCATATGCCGTGAAGTGCTTTGAGATGTCCCCCTGATGTGAAAGGTGCTATGTGCGAGAATTATTATCTTTGCTGTTGTTATCTATGGAGAAAAGGTAGCAAAAGATTTGTCAGTTTACTAAAGAGTAGCAGGTTTGATGGACTCAATGGCCTGTTTCCTGTTTTCCCTCTCTCTTTTTATAGCTCTGAGCAGCTTGAAGTTGTAATAAAAAGCAAGGCCAGAGGCTGGCTAGATGCTGAAGCATGTGTCCCATTTCACGAATGCCTGGCTTGCCATGTCTTTGCTTATTTAGGAGTATATCATTATTCCGCCATCAGTGGCCGTGGTTTCAGTCAATGCTACCTGAAACTTTGGAAGTCTCTTCCCCCCCAATCCCTTTCCCTCCCCCTCCTTCCCCCTTCGTTTTAAATCATGACAGAAAACCTTCCTCTTCGATGGTGCTTACAGTCACCTGCTCCCTCGCCCCAGCTCAGTGTCAGGCTCCACCACTGACAAGTGCTCTGAGAAGCTGCTCTTTGTAAACGGCACTATATAAATGCATATTGTTGTTATTCATGCACACAAACTGGGAAGGACTTGCAGTATGACTCAGACAAAATCCCTTACTTGCTGGTCTGTCTTTAAGCTATAAAGCACCAGCAAATCAAGTCCAATGTTACTCCAGACAGGAGTTCACAGAACAGCACTGCATCGATCAGTGCATTAAACTAGCAGAAATCTCCTTCGGGTATATGATGAGTCATTTTGAGCAATGTGCAAAGTACAAAGATGTTGCCAGGCTAAAATGACTGTTTGTGGGACACTGCTGTTGGCTGCTGGGTTTCACCCACAAGTCTACAGTCAATTCACTTTATAGTATATTCTGTGAAGACATTAAGGCCCCATCTGCCTGTTCAGGTGGATGTTAAAGATCCCATGGCACTATTTAAAAGGAGAAGGAAGTTTCTCCTGGTGTCCTGGCCAACAATCTTTCAGAGAAAATTGATCATTCACTTCATAGCTCTATGTGGGAAGTTGCTGTGTTGCAAATTGTACTGCCTCATTTGCCTGGAAATATAGTCACTACACTATAATAAATCCTGTGAAGCATTTTGAGTTAATTTGACAAATGTAATATGATCCCATATCAGAGGCAAGGACTATTTTTATATCCCTCGATGTTTTTTCACTCGTCAGATTTAATCTCCACTTTGAAGCATCCTATTGATCCAGCCTCAGTATCCACCTGCAGCGCTGAATGCTAAACCCTGATAACCCTCCCACTGAACGAATTCTTTCGAACCTCTCCCCTAATTTTTCTATTAATGGGGCTAAGAATACCAGCCAAAGCCTTTCAGGAAAAAACGGGGAGAGGCGAAAAGCAACACAGAGAGAAAATCTTCCCAGTGATGTGTGATTTTCAGTGATTTATACACAGAGTTTTTAAGTGCTTTTCAACGGTTCACAAACGTAGCAGTACTCAGCCTTTTGGAGCTGAATTCTCAGTAGAAGTGCAAATACTTGTGAAAACACGCGATGACTATATAAGCTGCTAAACTGTAACCTTCTGGAGCGATTCACACTCCAACGCCTAGACAGCAACAGTGGTATCAACAGATTAGAACATCTGTAGTGGAAGGGGATTTGTCTTGAATCAAAAGAGACCCCAGCTTAGCAGATGGGATGAACAACACAGGGACATTGAGCTTGCATCTCTCGCCTGATGCTCCAGTGCAATGTCGGAGGTCCTGTCTTTTGGATGAGGTGCATTCATAACATCCAGACTCGACCTCGCTAATTCCCAGCTTTTCGGCCTCCCCAACTCCTCCCTCCATAGGCTACAGATCATCCAGAACTCTGCAGCCAGTGTCCTCTCCCACACCAGGCTCCGTGATCTTATCAACCCCATCCTCGCCCGACTCTTACTAGCTTCCCATCACACAGAGGACACAGTTCAAGATCCTGGTCCTCACCTTCCAAAACCTCTGTGGCCTTGCTCTGCCCCCATCCTCTGGAGCTCCATCCCGTAGACCCTCCACTTCGCCCGCTCACTTGTTTTTCTCAAGACCCTCCTTTTTGACCGTAACATCGGTCACCCTCCTTTCCCCCCATCACCCTGCTCTCCACCCTTCCCTTCCTAACTCCCAACCTGGGTCCAAAACACTCATTATCCAGCCCCTTGGGAAGTCCTCCAAATGTGGATGGCGCTATGCAAATGTAATTTTGTTGTTGTAACTGAGTGTCCGTGATACCATTGGAAAAGGAGGGTGTCCCAATCTCCTAGCCAGTAAT